TGAGTGATTTATACGTACGATTTTTTCGATTTTCAATAAATTATTATTATTATGTAACACAAATCGAAAGAAAATCTTGATCGGCGTTCATTACTTATTAAGGTGCGATCACCGGTGACCAAATCCGGTATATCCCCTGACTGTAATAGATAACTATAATAGTTTGGGAGTAATATTTGATTATCCATTTCACGGGTATACTTATTATTTACATTGTTCGCTGTTCGCTATTTGTTGTTTACTATTCACTACTCGCTATTTACTATTCACTATTTGCTATTCACTATTCTTATTCGCTATTAGACAAAGCATTATTGTTTGAAGAGCAAAATTTCATCTCTCGCACAGAGTAGTGTAGTTATCGATATTCACAATGTTCATTATTCTGTAGTTTACACTGCACACAATATAGAAAATTGGATGTTGGTAGTGTTATGAATCCATCAGGCAAATGAATCGAGTTTATTGCGCACACGTGAATCTATTAATTAAAATTATTTATTTGAGGATAGTTCGTACATGGCTTGTGGTCAATTTATTGAAGTATCAGACGAGTTTTGTTCATTGTGTTCCAGCAAACGCGATGCTAAAGAGTGATATGCGGCCAAGTAAGGATTATTATTCACAGGCGTGACGCAATGATGGATAGTACCAGCGGTTGTTAGGTTCGGATAAGTCTACTTGCCGAATATAGCCTTAACAGTCTTCGATTTTTAGAATATCCCATTTGTCCAGTTATTCGACAAACAGATTATTAGTGTGAAGGTATATAGGAGAGAGCAAACCTGCGACATAATCCATTATCAAGTTTAATTTTGCAACTACCGCATACTGCAACTTTTTATATATTATGGGGATGAGAAATTAAGAGGTGTTTCTGGAAATAATAATTCGAAAGAATAACTGTTTGTTTAATCTTTAGTAATCCATTTTGTTGAACTGGGGACACAGTAAGCGTGAGCAGTAGGCGCATGGGATAAAGCTGTTGCGAAATCTTCCGCCAGTTTGTACTTTCCTAGAGTTCGTTATTTGTATTGATGGAAGACTAATGTAATGAAGATGTCATGGAATTATCGTTCACATCAAGAGATACTGTAGGCGCCGGGATATTACAATTTAGTTGGTATTTTGAAAAAAAAAAAATTTTTTTTGTGGGTATTTTTGTAATTATAATGCTTGTGAGATATAACGGACAGGAAATGTTGTTGTTTTTTCTTTATTTATCGAAAGGAAATAATCAGGAAGATAAGCGTTTAAGAATATGTAAGTCAAAATATCAATGCTCGATCGACAATAGCATGTAATAATAATAAGGTTTAGTCAATAGTGATTATCAGCGTCTAAAAAAGGACACAAATCAACAGTGATTATCGCTATTAATCAATTTGGGACTGACATATGATATTCTATTTCGGGTATAATGTACTCACTCATACTATTCGCTATTTACTATTTACCAATTTCTATTTCTATTTACTAATTGTTATTATCTACTATTCGTTATTTCGCTATTCGCTTATTCACTATTTCACTATTTCACTATTTCACTATTTCGCTTGGAATTCGACGAAAGCGTTGATAAAGTTGTACAATTTTTATCAGAAACAACTGTATATCAGAGAATTTAATTGTTATTAGCAGACCAATACGATGCAAGATGTTATATTTAGAAAGGTAATAGGGATTTGTTTATTTTTCGTTAATATTTGAACGTAAAACTTTGGAATGGATATTCTCGAAAACTAAATAAACACGAAAACAAGTATGCGACTTGCCAATTGTCGTAATGCAGCCTTAAATATACTTGTTTTCTGATAATAATGATAAACTTTGTAAAATAATTTATCGCCAACGTTTTCTTTGTAACAACTAAATGGGAGAATCGAAATTGTCTAAAAATACTTACATTATTTCAAGGAGACATATTGCCTCGAGTTTTTGGGCCAAATCTGTACAAGTTTATAGTTGATGTCTTTACCTTAATAGTATTCCAGTAAGTATTTGGTGGTCATATTTGTCAGTCACGTCCTTATGAATACTTTATCATAATTTGATGAAATTTCTGTGTGGATATTGTTTGTAAGTGTATTGCGTTTCGTAGAACATGACATTATTAGAAGACGCTGTCCAGATATAAAAGACGTTACATCCTTACTCTGTAAACAACTCGTTGAAAAAATCAAATTAATAACTTCCTTTAAGATGAAACCACTTTCAATTAAAATCTTTTCGATTTGCATGAGCCTTATGATCTTTTTATTCTTTTTTGCGACAACCACAGATGGATTAAGACCTCGTGCATCTAATACATCTGATACAAAGCCTGTTACATCTAATACAACTGATACAAAGCCTGTTACATCTGACACATCCGATACAAAGCCTGTTACATCCTATCAAGACCTACATGACATTATTGTGAACTTCTTACCCTCAGCGTTGAAGAAATTTGGATTGACAAGTACACAAGATATTGAAAAACTCAGTAAAGAAGGTGCACCGCTAATTGCTAGTATTATTGCGTGTGTGAGTGGTAAATGCTCAGCAAAAGAACGTCGAGCATTATTCGTTAAACGCGGGAATGTCGGTGAAATCAGAATATGGATTGGAAATGTGGTTCGAAAAGCGATAGACAGAGTGGTAGACGGAGTGGTACGCGAAGTAGGCGAATTAAGCAACGTTCGAATACTGGTAGACCACTTGGTTCGCAAATTGGCTTGTTGCATGAACAAAAACTCGTGCCTAGTAAAGGTGGGGCTTATAGGAGTTGGCTTTGTGCTTAGTAGTAGGGATGACTGGAGCACTTCTGATGGTATCAATGACTCGTAAACAAAGAACATGTGTGATAGATTCGGCGTCGGAAATTTATTCGTTTATTTGTTGTTTTGATAAAATAAAGTCAATGTTTTTTACCAGGTCAAGTTTGAAATTGATGAATTGAATTATTACCGTAGAGCACCGAATATAGTGCCCCCATTAAATAGTCCTCCCCTCAATTTGGAATGGGTACAAATAGTTGATCGTACGTCACACATACATGATGGTAATAGACAACACGACAGTATGAATAATTATTATTCATCTATGATTTTTGCATGATATGTACTTAAGTACAAAACTATTCGTCGGCGTAACAAACTCGATGAAAACATAACAAATCTATACAATCAGCCGAAAAACCAATTATCCGGCTATCAATTAACTAGCTATCAACAGTCAAGATTTACAATCGACTAAAAAGTCAACTAATTATCCCATCCCAAATATTTGCATAATTCAATTCATTCTCATCATAATGATTATCGCCAACTTGTCCATCGATGGTTATATGGTTATTAACAAATGGAATATTTTTCTTAAAGTTGATCTTCAACTTTTGCGTCTATCACGGTTTCGGTGATAATGTTAGCTAAGAAAGTAGAGATAAATTCAGATGACGTAATATGGTAATCACATCACTCTGTGAAGAGAATCCCTCATAGTACCCTATTCAGTGCTCTACGGTACATATCGATATAACAAAAAAAATTTTAGATTTAAACTTTCTAAACTGTTGCAAAAAGTATTAGGACACTCTAAGATTTCTACTACATCAAAGATTCAGATTTAAGTAATTTAGTAAAGAATCGCAGAAAACAGAACGGCATCGATGGGTATTGTCGGTCCAGAAGTTTATCGAGAAATTCCCCTTTTGTCTAGTTCTCCTGTTTGGTAATGATGAATGTTCTTTCTATTTAAGTGGAATTGGCTAACTTTAAAGCCGATGATTTAATTGCTTCTTTTCTCGATCAAAACCAGAAACTTCATTCAGATTGAGACTGCAATTTTTCTCTCGTAATACATAATTGCAATACGACTGCTGGAATTTGTAAAAAAAAATTAGTATATTTATTTAATGTCAGTGAATAATTAATTCGTTTGCAATGTCCCTCAGATTTGATAACTCGGATTTAAAAAAGAATTAAATATATTCAGTGCGAATAGTATCCAGTATTACCAACGCAGTTTTGTAGATGGAAATAGAACGAGCGAGAAGATAAATGATTATGTTAGGCGATAGTAGTTACAGTTTAACAATTTTACTATAATCCAATATTACAAACACAATTTTAGCGAATGAAAATAAAACGAGCAGGAATAGACAAAGAGTTTAATAGATTATATAAAAATACAGGGATTGAGAGAAAGAAGGCGGTAACAAAATGATAAAATATTTATGTATAGTAATAATAATTCATACGAGTACACTACCTTCAATGTGATAAAAAGAAACTAAGTATATTCAGTTCAAATAATTTTACTACAATATCCATTATTACAACGCGAGCGAGAATATGAATGATGTTAGGCGATAGTAGTTACATAGTCAAACTCAAATCGACGAGTTGGTTGTAACGGTTTAAGTTACGGATGTTTTATTTTATCGAGAATATATATGATATACTGCGGCGTCAAGCTACTATTGGTGAAAAATTGGGTTACAATGAATTAATTGACAATTAATTAGTAAACAATCAATACTCCGACGTAAATTACGCAATACCAATTCGTACCATTAGAGCAATTTGCCCAATTCTGATTATGATAAATTATAAGTTTGTCTAATGACAAAGAGCTTCTGAAGGAGAAGTGGTTTTTTAAATGGCATATTCGGATGGCTCTCTACTGTACAATCAGGAATTTACCTGCCATGTCGCACAACCCGACACGTCGTACGGCCCATAATATTACTATTTATGGAGCTGAGCGTCCAATGAAAGGAATAATATTTGAGCCGTACTACTTGGCAGGTTGTGTGACCTGGCAGGTAAATTCCCGATAATTTGCCTAATGGATTAAACTTTTAGAGCCAAAGAATTCGCGAATTATTTGGAAAGAATGGTGTAGGAATGGATAAAATTAAGCATGTCACTTGCAGTGCAAATGAGATTTCAAAATTAATTAACGCACGAATTCAAAATGTTATAGATCAAGTAACCTCAAAAATCGTTTCCTTGGGAAACGTTCAGTGCAACTAGTGTAACACCAATTAGATGTTTTTATATTTGTGTTCTTGCAGTTTTAGTGGTAACTCCTCTATCACGACAAATTTCAGCAACTTTATTTTCAAAATTATCTGAATAACAATCCAGGATAAGATCTCCTCATGTCCAACCCGTACTGTATTCTGAAACAAATGGATTAAATTTTGTGTTGTGCTTTGGTTGCAAGTATTGAAACCTTATTCCATGGCCAAAACGTTGAGCTTTGTATAATCCCGCTGTACTCGATCTTTTCACAATATAATCCACGTAATCTACTGTCATTTTTGCGATATAGTTTCTTAATCGGTCCAAACTACCATCACACTTGAATTTAGTATGTCCAGGTACCATGAAATTTAATTGATACTTTTATAATAACCGCAAATTATTAAATATACAGTAGGTAAAATCAAATGGTAGCATTATTTTTATTTTGTCCTTCCGCATATCGCAAGTACTTTTTAGATGATTTTCACCTTTATTCAATCTCTTAATTTCATCGATACCATGCTCAGCGTACCGTTAGGGCCTTTGCCAATAATTTCGTCTTCATCGAGAACATAATTAATTTGTTCGCGCACTGCTTCATCTTGAATACCAAATAAATGCACTTTACGCGGACTGAGATAATAAATCTTACTTACCTATTGATCGGAATGGGGTATGTAAACATTTTGTAACTGAAATGAGCAGTCGCGTCAACACTGCAATAATCAGCTTTACCTCTGCCAATTTCGTATTTTTGTTGTAATAATTTCTCTCCAACTTAGCCTTAACATGTTCTTTATATTTTTTCAGTAAATCTTTCGCTTCTTCTTCCTTGCGGGCGTTGTACTGTAAGCCATTCCGAAAATGTTGACACGTGTCACATAAATCCGTTCTCGGATCCATAACTTACGAAACCATATTTTAACAATTTCATGTGTCATCGTTTTCAAGACCTGCAATAAAATCACGATGGACTGACTTTAACTGGCAAAAGTGTAAGCGATTGAGTGATTCGGTTGACGTTTATACCAGGGCTTGGTAGTCCATAAATTTCAGCATATTTTTCCTCACGGCGGTAGCAACGGTTATATCAATGGTTATTTTGGTTTTCCATCACGGCACTCTTTTTACATTACCATAAACGCGCGGTATTATTAGTATTGACATCTTAATCTTTCAGAGATGGAAGCATGTTTGCTTGAGGATAGCTCATTAGTAGTGAAAGGTCAGCAAATGATTTTCAAACAGAACTGTAGTCATTGACTGCTTCCAAGGGTCTCTGTTTTAGTTAGTGCTGTGACATTATATCAAAAAAAAAAAATATTTTTTTTCTGGCCAACTAAATAATATAATTAGTATTAGCCTTCACAATATGACCTTTATTTATCAAATATCATTCCATGGTACTACAATGGCCTCTACTTTTATGGGGAAACTTTGAAACACATGCAAAGAGGTCATCAACATTCTCGAAAGGCTTTCTTTTCCTATTTGAAATTATCTCCCTTGCAATGGCATCCCCAACTTTAGGAATGAGTTGAAGGATGTAGTATGGTGCTAGATTGATATAAATTTTATTTCCTTCTGTGTGAAAGAATGAACATACCAGTATTGAGGTGCAACAATGAAACAAGGTAAATCAAAAGTCTGCAATATACCTGCTACAAACTGGGCATGACTGGCAAAAGTTTGCCCAAAAAAGGCTTGGAAATTTGAATGGTCGACCACAGCACATTGTGCAGGAAGATTATCTTGAGTCACATTGTGCTTTCAAAAAGCATTAGATAAAACAAGCATACTCCATTGCATTGTTTTTGGAAAGTTGTTTGTCTTCAATAACTGTTTGTAAGCATTTGAAGCTTTATCAAATTCTTTGCCAATTAGCTCCTCGCTGATTTGTTGAGGATTTTTAGAGTCAGATTCAGCAAACTTCATTTGAAAAGATAAAAGCATCCAAACAGAGTCTCCATGAAGATATGAAAAACCATCCCACACAGACTCTTTGCCATTGATGTACACATTTGTAAACTGTGTGTGTAACTGCTTATGCCTTTTGTCCTGTGTATCAAGTACAGTGAGTTTATCTGGATATTTCTCTCTTAGTTTATTAGAGACAAGTGACGGAACCCGACTAGTTGAAAAACCAAATCGAAGATAGCCCTGTTTATTGTTGTTATTCTATCGTGTGTACCCTTATTTGGATTACGAGTAACTGAAACTCGTATAGGGAGTTAGGAAGCGCTTATTAAATTAGGTCACTTGTGATTTAGAATTCAGTCTTAATCGAACAACTACTGTAATAATGGCGGTAGCACGAAGCTAAATCCCCGGTTGGAAGAACACCCCTACGCGAAAGATTAATCGTTCTCCCAAACCCACCGTAACACATAGTAATCAATATGTAATATTTCTTTCTTCCGAAGGATTTCTTGAAGTTAATGGCGAGTGGGAAATATATTCCTCACGTAAAGTGAGTGCTTCTCCGAGTATCTGTTGAATGGTTATTATATCCGAAGTATATTGTTGGAAAATCAGGTCCTAGAGAACGAAGTGTGAAATTATTGTTAGACGCGGAACAAGCAACAAACTCACAAAATGAAAACATGCTTCTCAGTTCTCGTGAATAAGCATCCCTTAAGAATATGAGATTATAAATTTTTATTTCAAATACAATACAGTTCTGGTTACCAATCATTTTATATGATCGAAGGGGGGCTTGCTGAGGACGTCGTACTCTTACCATAGAAAGATCAACGTTCCCGGCTTTATATCTTATCTGTAGGTACGATTACCAAGTGATAGTGAATGTGTTTTATTATATTATTATTATAAATACCATCGACATAGACATCATTAAGTTTATTTAGTCGACATTTCCAGAGTTTTTGTAAATTGGCCAATTTATTATTTTGCGTTGAACGCCTTCAGTATTTACGTAAAATCTGGTTGATTATAATTTAAGGCTTTAGCTGGGTGTCATATTTTGCAACTTGCGTCATATTTTATCGTTCAACGTACAAATTTGTTTTAACAAACGAATATATAACTGACGAGAATGTAAACGAATTGATAATTCGATTGATATTTCAGGATTCGAAAGGATCTCAAGTATTGTAGAAAATATCAATTTAATCCACAAAGAAAAGTTTTATAAAGAGTAAAATATTACTCGTTGCAGAATTCAAGTAAAATCGGTAGCATACCGATAAATTACATGCTCAATTACTTCGCATCTTTGACTGTTTTCGACTATCTCATTGAATACAGTTGGGCGGTTTAATCTCCTAATAAATACGTAAAAAATAATATAGAACAAATGTTTGATTGCTTCAAGCTCGTCTGCCAGTTTTATTTTCCGTTAGAGAGTGATCCAATTTTGAGTACAATGCAGTATACGTAAAACAGATCGATGATTCTACGCACAATAGTTAACCCAATTAGAGTTGTAATAATAACACACTTGAATATAACGGCACATCTGGTTTATACATGCTGTCTATGTTTATTTAATTGACAAGTTTAACGTGTGGGTAGGAATAGCAAGCAAAGATTAGCGGTAATTGACTAATTTAATTACATTTAGCTTGCATCACATAATATTGGTTGTAAATCACTGCCAAAATGCAAATCTATGTACGAAAAAAACAAACAAAAAAACCATATCTTTCTCTATCGTCTACTTACTCAAACAGAAAGACTGCAATTCTTTTGTGTATGCCACAATTGCTGAAGGAGAAATTTCTTTGATCCAACTACTACGTTAAATAAACCACCATTAGTAGCGTTCCTAATAAATGCACTACCACCGTAATTCCAGACACATTTGTCAGCAGCCTCATAGTCTATTAGAGATAAATGTATATATTAGGTTTGTACAAAGTCGCAAATACCGCGAGAAAACCAATAAACCGGGCATAAAAATACTTACCAGCATCATCATACCAAGCTGGATTGTGTAGAGTAAACGAAAGCAATAAAGTTAGTCATACTGTGTAGATTGTTAATAAATTTACTTCGATGCTTACCATTATATTCTCCGTCAGTGACGCTCTCAACCAGTTCGTGCATAATAACACTGGCCATTCCATCAATAGCAGGACTGTTATTGGGAGATTTTCCGCCGGCTTGTAATGGAGCGCATCCCTCAAGACAACTAGTAGGCGTACCAACAAACGCGTATTTGATGGGTTTACCACGTATGGTATCGAAAGTGTGAAACCCGCAAAAGTCTTCACAAAAGCCGGAAGTCTATTAATGACGATTATAACAATACGGATGCGTTAAAATATTTATGTAACATAATATATTTATTGCAGTCAACTTTACGTACATGATTCACATCTGCGCTTCCGAGAATATAATAAACGGCTGTTTGATCTAATGGCCAATTAGCGGTCTGTATTGCATTTGCGACAACCTCGACCATGGTATCGTCAGTGATGTTTTTGCCAACCGAGTAATTATCAGTATATGTTCCGGCAAGGTTGAGGCCACTGAAATAATAAAAAACAATGCGTTAAAATAATTATAATTATAATCGCTTCTCAACTGTCGTTTAATAATTATCCTTACCCGCTGACAGGATTTCTGAGCCTATCATAATAAGAGGTAACAATTTTATAATAATTTGTTGAACCGATGTTGCTCATTAAATATTCTAGAATTTTCTGGTCATTTTTCTGCCAAGATCCATAATAGATATAATAGACATTAACAGTGTTTGTGAGAACACGTCTATAAAAACATAATGTTACGGTTAGAAATAAGACAAGTTTACGTTCCCAATTCCATCCCTTTAAAAGAATGGTTAATCAGTTTTTTCTCATACTCCAACCTTTATACTTTACCCGCCATGATTTATGATCTTTTTATCTCTCGGAGGTCCGGTCAACGAAGGACTACCTGCAGATTGTATGCTAACTATATTCTGACCAGCATCAGTCGATTCTGTAGTAAACGGTTTGGTAATCTTTATTCCATTCCGTGCATCTCTAACCGCAATAGGAGCACCAGAAACGGGACTAGCGGAAGTCTGTAAAAGTGTAGACAAGAAGATCAAAGAATAAAAGAAAAGGAAAAAACGGGATAATGATGGGGCAAACATTGCGTTGGAAGAAGGTCTATAGAAGGGATAGATTTAATGAAAAGTCAAAAAGTTGGATTGACAATCAAAGATTATCATATATGTCGTGTATTAGATTCTATAGTTACGATGCTATTAATCAATAATAGTCTTCTCCTTGCGGAAAGACAAAGAGCCAAAAAGAGTGTCTATAGCTCTAGACTAATACCAAGAGAATGTGGAAAAATGTAAATGGGAAATGCCATTCCAATCGAAGGTTAACCGTTTATTTATTACTTTTTTGCTGCTATTGTAATAAATAAATACATCCATCATTTACTTTGTTCTGTCAAAATACGTGTACATCCATTTTTGACCAATTTTAGGATTAATATTAATAAACGTCTTGTTTACATTAATCGTCTGTGCTATACAGAATCTACATGATATTATACTTGTTTCCATTGTCGTTTCTCTCTTGTTGTGCAAAATCATCGATTTGTGTTACATACTTGATATGAATACCAAGGTGATGCTTAGGTACCACGGTAAATACAAACAACAAAACTCTCTTGATTTAACATACCTTAAATGGGTTAGAGAGGAAACATCGATGCAAATGGTAAAGTGGGAAATTCAATATAGTATGGTCCGGTATTATTCTTATTACTTCCGAACTTAATTCATTGACGAGGTTAATATTTGTTGTTCAATGCTCGAATCACAACTGTATGATATACACCAATTAATACGTTTACCAAATACTAATATCTACACTCGTTGAAACAAGAGTTCTTCATTTTCATTCGCAGCTTTTCTTCACCGATATCTATGATGCCTATAACGTCTCTTCTATCCCCCATACCAAACAACATTCGGGTTGAAGTTAATAAATCTAGTGCTGCCAAAGACAAATGCTGTCATATTTACACTTTATTAAACTTTAACTCTATTAACAGTGTGACAGAGATGAATGCTGTATTGTGTATTGTCCTGAATACAAAGACGGCCAAACTATTATAGACATTTGGGAGGCTATGACAAGTTTGACTTGAGAATCGAGTGTGTTATTTTGAGAACCACCAATTGCTATGGCCGTACAACATCGCCAGTAGTACAACAAATAACAACAAAGTGCATTTGACGTCAGTTTCCTTGGCACCTAAAATACCACAACGGGTGGACAATATTGTCGAAACTGGTCACGTTGGTGACATTCTAATTGAATATTTGCTCAGACACAATCAAATCAAACGTTGTTTTTTTTATGTGATACGGACTAGTCTTGCTGTGCAGTAAAAAACAGATCGTAATCGGGCATCGATCCGTATGGTCTAATTACAATGTTATTTCATTTTGACAAGCACGGATAGATAATTTATCAGACTTTTGTTGACGCTTTTTATTTCTTCATCTGCCCGTTTTGTTGCAGCGCATCTATGTGACACAAACAAGTATGTAACTGGTTTACCGCGATTGCAAATAGTCGCTTCGTCAAACACTCTTTGAGCACATGTCGTTGAATTTGCATGTCTGCTAGTTATCGCATGTGCATTATTAAAAATGTCAATATACGGGATAGCGTTCGCAATCAAACGTGAACTATTGCCATATCTAATACGCAGTTAGTATACGTACGTTCCCATTTTTAGCAATTTGTTTTTGCATGCAACAATGTGTGTTTTTTTTAAAGAAAGTATTTTATGATAGCACATTGTTATTAATACTGCACACTATTGTTGAGTCTTTGTCTACATGGTTTATGCGATCAAATGATCAATGTTTCAGTTTATATACACCCCCCTTATGATCATCGTCAAATGATCAGCTTTTACTTCTTGTTCGTTAGAAGTATTAATTATGCATATTTGTTACAGCTTTAGTACTCTCGACTTTTATACGCAAAATACCGACATCAAGAGACTCTTAAACAACGAAAAGCACTTACTTGTAAGCAGTCCCGACATTTATTGCGCTAATAATTTTGTCTAAAATCAGATAAAGTGCGACGCTTGATTTAGGTAATAAGTGAAATCATAAACAATGCGACACGCAAAGTGATTGCAAACACTTATTATTGTAATTTTTAATTAGGTAGAATTGTAGAAATTGTTTACACTTTACCGCAGCGAAACTTTTAACTGAAAAAGGAACAATATTAAAGCAGTGAGCTTATTTACATTAATTGCAAAGTCAACAATAAAATGTAATAGTAAAGCTAATTTCAGAATTACATACTGTTACCCAAAGCGAGTATTGTCGCTCCCGTATGTTGTATGAAGAGCGTAATTATTCTCTGTACAAAAACTCCTTTAAAACCTTGATATGTTTGTTGTTGAGAAAGTATTTTAATTTAGGCAAAGGTTCATAAGGAAAACGCAAAATTTTTTAATGCCTACTTGTCTTTATATATGTTGCAGAACAGCCAAAAGTTTGTTTTATTTAAAGTCTTTTCGCTGGATACTATATTGCCTAAATATGTTTTTTCCAAATAGCATTGTTGCAGAAATAACTCTAGTAGTAAAAATTCAATCTATTCGTCTGTACCAACGCGGCAAGTCACTCTGGAGCTTATTTATATTTTTTTTGCTGATATTATTACGACGTCATTATTTGCATTAGTTTTTCATCATTGTTCGTACTTTTCCTTTTTATATAACGTTGAATCGCTACTCTGGTTTCTTTCTTATAATGGAAGCAGCAAAGACTTTTTATCCATAGATTTCGAGTTCCATTTTGTTATACAGTCAACTCTGTTTATACCGGCAATGTATATACCGGAATCTCTTTATAGCGGACGGACTGATTCTTGCGCACCGTATGAAAATTCTTTGTTTATACTATAAACTTTTCCATATACCGATTCCGGCCGGACACAGAGAGCTATGCCAACCCATCCGGTATAAACAGAGTTGACTGTATAAAGATGTTGAGTAAATTCTTGACGTTTTCTTCTTTGAATCCTTGAGATCAAGTCATCAAATGGCAGTAGAAGCAGTTGCCATGGTATTTGAATTTTACAACCATCAGATATGCTAATAAACATTAGTTTGATTTGCACCTACATCTACTGATTACTATCTACTATGTAATATTCCCTTCTTCTACTTTGTCATAACAATCACCCTCTGCCAAAAAATTTATTTTCGAAATTCTCTATTGTCCATACGCACTATGTAAATTAAAATAATTTTGGTATCGTTTTTGAAGCCAATTGATTGTATTTTCAAAAAAAAAAAGTGTGGAATTTAAATTAGTTATTGTAATGAAGAAGTAGTTCGATGAAGTGGAGGTATTTATGCTACACATATGGATTTTTTTTACAATACCGCTCACTTCATCGAACTGCAGCTTTAAAACAAAACAGGACTGAATCTTTTGCCATTTTGTTCTAAAAATACAATCAATTAGCTTCAAAACAGTACAAAAATTATTTTAATTTACATAGTGCGTATGGACAATAGAGATTTTCAAAATTAAAGGGTTTCCTATTGCTAGGAAATTTTTGTGTTGTGCTCACTTATATTTTGGCTGAGAGGTGTATAAAACGCCTTAATTTGAATTGTTTAAATTAAGGAAAATATTCTTTCAGCGATAGCTCCTGGGGAGAGAAACTATACTATAACAACAAAGGAGTATTATTAACTAAGAAAGAAAACCTTTGATTTGTTTATTGAAAACGATGCGTACTTTTTTATTTATATTGCCACGAGCTAGTTTGCCACTGTGCTATCATTACGTTTGTTATTTGAGACAAAACTCGTGACACCACCCTGCAATGATGCGCCAAGACACATGTAGATATGCAAGTATTTCACTTCAATTCCGTCGTCAGTCTCCGGTTTAAAAATATTATTTTCAAAAATTTTGAAATGGCCATGTCGAAAAAATATAATTTGTTACTAATAACACCGCCAAAAAAGAATGTCAAAAGTGCCAAGTATATGAAAACGCTCATTATCTTGATACACAATAATAATAAATTATCTTATTCTCATAAATGTTTCTGTGATTCATGAGAACGTACTGTGTCAAATGAATGATGGTATCCTGTATTCGTTTTGCATCTCAAATGGTAGTCCCAAGAAATATCAACTGAAAGACCAAGTTTCGAATATTTACAAGTGAACTGAGACACTGCGGTGTCAATGCCCACAATATTCATAAGACAATGGATCAAATTAGTTCAAGTTCGGTTACAGGGTGAATCATGACTTGCTATCCTCCCCATAAAGGACTAACCCTGCAAGTATTTATTTGTTGTTCATAAATAGTCTCAAGAATTTACACCTACTCATGGTAGCAGAACTAACATTCCATTTTTCACCCATGTTGTCCTTACTTGAGCATCAACAATCCAAAGCGACTCTTTTCATCATGATAACGAATAGCCCACTTTGCTTGCTTGATTCAGTCACACTTGGCTAACAACTTCATTGATAATATCGATAAATAATCAATATATCCAATCAAACGTCAATCTGCCACCAATTGTCCTCCTCCTACAACTGCTTCTAACAACAGCCTCCAGAATAAAAAATCGGATGTCATTGACATCGGTCTCTACAATGTTCATATATATATATATGTATATATTATTAACCCTTTGTCATCTACGAACTAAATAAAATATAAAACAGCAGAAGAAATAAAGAATAAAGGAAATGATAGGAACTGTTGTAATCGTCTAAATCACTGACGCCCAATAAGTTAGTTGGTAGTAGCTGACATCCTTCTAACACTACGAGTCCAAGCTTCGACATCAACATTTGATTTCTGAGCTGCGACAACATATGGATGTTTCTACGAGTTGATAACATTATAATAAATTAGCATTGAGAATACCATACAAAAAATAAAATAAATGACATAGGCACGCGATACCAACCAGTAACTCTTGTAGAGTAGGTCGCTGGTTAACATCCTTGGACAAACTGAAAAAGAAAGGTTGAATTGATCAGTAAAAGAAATACAAGTGTAAGACTATGACCAAATACGTATACTGTTACGCTTTCTTCTAGTCATCATATGCTTACCACTGC